TGTGGCTGGTCATATCGGGTCTGTGGCGCTGGTATTTCAGAGAGAAAGAGTCTTCCACACTCAGGCTGATGAGACGAGCAGGGCCGCAGGTCTCTCCGGTGGCGCGAGCTCGGGGCTGGAGAGCCGGGCAGAGGAACACAGCCACAGGGAGGGGGGGTGGTGGCGGCACTATCCGGTTACACCAGCCAGCCCTGCGGATAAAGATTTCCGATGGATCCTGGGCTCTAGACCGAAACTGCATCGATCAGCGGAAGAGAGAGAGATGGGCTGGTGGGCACGACGGTCAGACTGGGCACGTTACTCCAGGGGCTGGTGGCACAGCATTGTTGTCTGCAGGCCCTGTGATTCTGGGCCTAACACTGGGATAAGATCCATACTCTGAATCGCCTCCTCTCATCCCTAACGTTTTTCATTGTTAACTGTTTAATAATTAACTGAGTCCAGTTATTCTTGTGGGACACTAATTCGGCAGATTTTGTTGGAAATGATCTCTACGGTACATTTTTACTAGCGCTACAAACCTGCTGAACTGGGGCTCTCTAGGACCAGAACAGCTACGAGACCCTGATGATCCCCTGTAGGACTGAACAGTTTGTCATGCTTGAGTTACAGATTGCACCTTCCTATGCATCAAACCATCAGCCAATTAATTAAAAAAAACTGCTTCGTTATGTTGGGTTTAGTTCAATCATTAAAAAGTGGGTTCCCAAATGTTTACATTTGAAAACAATTAAATAATTCAAATCAACATAATTATTTGGCTAATTAAGGGTTGAATTATGTAGTCGAGGAACCCTTGTTTTAGGAGATCTGGGCCAACAGCAACACTCTGATAAGGTCTCTCAGAAAGAAGGAAAAAGCATCCAAAAAAAGTCCAAAAAGAAAGACGAATTTCCCTGCTGTCAAGGCCCTGCCTATAGCACACAATCTTTGAAACTGGGCACTGCGGATCCATTAAAAGTGGAGTTTTTGATTCCTGATCTATTTACTAATCCATGGGCACCTAGAAACAAGGGATCAAAATATAAAATCAATATCTGGTCAATCAGGGAGGTACATCAATTGCACTGCACTGAGGCAAAATACTGAACCACTCAGCTCGCCAAAGCAATTATAGGCATTGATTCCAAATGTCCAGTCAGATGTGAAAACAATTGTGTTGGTTTTCTAATCACCACAGCAATGACAATGCCAGTAACACAATTATACATACCGTAAACACCTGGCTAGTCACACATTTCTTATGCTGACCTCTAAGACAGCAGTACTTAAATAATACCACAGCTGCAGCCTGTTCTTGTACTGGGAAGAATGGTTGTGCTGTACACATGCATCTTTTTAATCTTTGAAGGTTATTTATTTTTTTAAAAAAAACTTTAATTCTCAACAGAACCAAGCTGATTTGGAGATCCATAATTCCTTAGTTGTTTTCTTGAAAAACCTCTCTCCTAGAAGGCTTCAGATCTTCAGATAAAACGAAAAAAAAACAACAACTTTTCATCAGTTGCCGGCTGTGGTTATTCTTAAAAAGATTCCCCGTCACTTCAGAAGGAGATAAATGACTCATTTTCACACACCTCTCCAATTCGCAATTGCATTTCTACACAACTGATTAGATGCGATAGCAGATGGAGGTGAGAATGACTGGGAATGTGTTACAGGCTTCCAGGATTATTCATTACTTGAAAATAAATAAATAAATGAATGGGTTTAAATTCTCACTAGTTGTCATGGGCACTTCCAGACAGGCACTGCTAAAGACTGTCTGGGTCCTGAGCCATCAGAATACAGGCAGTTTGAGAATTAGCCGTCCCTTTCATACTGTGATGAAGAGGGACACACACTGTACTGTATATTATGGCAGCCTAGAGACTTAAATTCCATTCAGTGTTAAGTCTTTCTACTGGGCTAATTAAGTCATTATGGGTAAATTCAGTGAAATTGGTTGGATTATAGTTCTGAAATATCTCCTCCTGAGGCTGCAGGCTGTGCTTCAGATCTGTTATGTAAATCCAATGATTTTGAAAGGTTTTAAATCACAACGAGCATATAACAGTTTACATCTCCAGTAGAGGCTGACTGTGGTTATGACATTGTGTTCTTTAATGGAGTGAATTTATAATAATAATTACTTACACTTATATAGCACTTTTCTGGACACTTCACTCAAAGTGCTTTACAAGTAATGGGGATCCTCTCCACCAGTGTGCAGCCCCACCTGGATGATGCACCAGTCCTCTCCCCACACACCAGCTCTCAGTGGGGAGGAGAGCAGAGTGATGAAACCAGTTCAGAGATGGGGATTATTAGGAGGCCATGATTGTTAAAGGCCAGGGGGAAATTTAACCAGAACGCTGGGGGTAACACCCCTACTCTTTTCCAGAGACGCCCTGGGATTTTTAATGACCACAGAGAGTCAGGACCTCGGTTTTACATCTCACCTGGAGGATGGTGGCTTTTTACAGTATAGTGTCCCCATCACTATACTGGGGCATTAGGACCCACACAGACCGCAGGGTGAGCGCCCCCTACTGGCCCCACTAACACCTCTTCCAGCAGCAACTTTAGCTGTCCCAGGAGGTCTTCCATCACGGTACTGGCCAGGCTCACACCTGCTGAGCTTGTCCTCAGCTTCCAGTTGTCCAGGTGGGACTGCACACTGGTGGTGGTGGAGGGGATCCCCATTACCTATAAAGCGCTTTGAGTGGAGTGTCCAGAAAAGGGCTACATAAGTGTAAGAAATTATTATTAATTAATTGTATTTTACTGTATATGCTTTATACTGTACTATACACTGACTAAACTATACACTGGCTATACTATATACTGTCTGCTGTTGGTGTAGGGGGAGGCAGGAGAGCAGCTGACAGTCTCAGGTTGGTGGGAGTCAGTGTGCTGATTGAGCTCTACCTGAGCCTGACGGTCCCTCTCTCTCCTCCCAGCTGCTGCCGCTAACGCTGCTGTCCGCCTACTGCCTGGGACTCACGTGTAGACCAGACAGCACCCCGTCCCCACACACAGGCGCCGCGCTGTGCGAATCAGCCGGGGAGAGGGAGAGCAGTGCCGAGCTGACAGGGCATTTGTTTTCATTTGCTTGTTTAGTTAGCGGGTTGTACGCTGTGCGCGGATATATTGTCATGTTTTATTCGGGTTAATGGAATCTGTTGCGGGAGCTGAGGTGGGAGGGGACGAGGTCTTTCTGTAGAGAGGTCTCCCGCTATCGCTGACAGGGTCCATCATGCCACCACCCACACAGCGACTCACGCAGAGCTGTGTTTGTGTGTGTTAATTGTTTTAACTCGAATGTTATTAGCGCTCATGAGAGCTGCTGAGAGGAACAGAAAGAAGACTCCATCTCATGCCTTAGTGCCAGGAATAGGGTGAGGACTGGAGGTCCAGCAGTGGAGAATCTCAGTCTCACATGGTTTAAGCTTGACATCATGAGCTTACCTTCATAACATCATGAGCTTCGAAGACCTCAACTAGTTTCATTGTGATCAGACAGGTGGACATGCTTTGTTAAGTATATTGTAACGCGTACGGCCTCCATTGCTTGCAAGAGCTGGCTTACCAGAGCGGTGACGTCACCGCCCTTCCCTGTGAATAGCAGGGACCGCAGCCGCGGGGCTGAAGGGAGATTTCCCTTTGGCTCAAGTGGCTCGGTCCCTGTTGAGTGACGCTGGAGGCCTGGGTTTGAGTCCCTGTGCACCCTGTAGCATTACAGTATATTAAACATCGTTTGGATGAAAAAATATGAGTATTCTTCAGTTTTTAGAGATGACTGACTATGGCTGACATTGAAGATTTACCGGATTAGAGAGGCCCAGACAGACAACCTGACCACGCATGGACGTACAAATCTGTAGACTGGCATGCAATAGAAACGATTTTCTGTGCACATGAACAGGACACATTTAAACGCAACTCTTGACATTTTGACATTAACGAAAATGATATATTTATTCCAGTTTGAATAAATGTTGAAAATGTTGCTTGTGTACCGTAGTAAATGAAGATGAAGGTAAGCAAGGCGTGTACTGATAGATTACTTATTTGTCGAGTTAGGAATCTTGGTAAGTTAAGCCAGTTCGATTGCTCCACAATCGATTACGTGGCTCTATTTAATGCGTTCTGAAACGATTAGCGCTGCCTTTCCGTTACTCACATGTGTTTGTTTGGAAAAATGGCGGCAGCTGAAGTGGAGAGCCGAGTTGCGGCGATAAAGAAAACGGCAGGTTGTGACTTTCTCTTTTTAAAGATAGCGTTTCCGTAGAGGAACTCACGGGTGTCAGTAAAGATTATGTGGTTGGTCAATACGGTAACGCTTCTGCGGAACAGCGTGCTGTGGGGCGAGATTAACCGCAGAGGAGTGACAGTTCTGATGTTTTTACATGGGCAATCAGAGAGCAAAACGCCTCATTGACTCGTGTCGACTTAAATCAACGTACCATCGTTTGTGGTAACAGCGGCGGCAGCAGTGATAATATAAGTACTGTTTTAACCATACCCCGTGGTGTTGGGCTGTATTTTGACTGCAGCTCTAGATATTAGAATGGTCTCAGACTATATGAACTCCCATGTCCCGGTTTTTGGAAGGACGCTGTGGCACGTAGTTGTATGTCACAGTCCTTGGCTGTATTCCTAATTTATTTTATTGAAATGAGCAGGACTGGGTCGTCTGGGATTAGTGATAACCAGAGTCCGAGAAATCATTGGTAACTGATTAAGAGGTGTTAGTGGGGCCAGCAGGGGGCCCTCACCCTGTGGTCCATGTGGGTCCTAACGCCCCAGTATAGTGATGTGGACACTCTACTGTAAAATAGCGCCGTCGTTCGGATGAGACGTAAAACCGAGGTCCTGACTCTCTGTGGTCATTAAAAATCCCAGGGTGT